GTTCTATGTTTTAGGAGAAATAACTAAAAATTAAGCATTTATGAATAAATAGTGATAATATATATATATATATATACATATTTATAAGCACTTACTTTTTACACCTATACTGCTAAATTCTGACCACCCCAGGAGGATAACTAACATCCAAATACCTACCAAGTTTATTGGATTGGCCCAGACTTTGTACAGAGCTATTTCATAAATATTTTCTCTCACTGTTATTACTTAGAAAATTCTCTTTGCAACCACTGTACTGTAAACAAGCTGATAAATCCTCTCATCCTGTGTTCTTGGAGCCAGGATTAACTCTGTGTAAATCTCGATTTAATGTACTACACATGCTTGTTTGCTATCAATGGTGTTGTATTATGCTGTCATGTTGCTAGATATGCATGACTGTTTCACTTTAATAATAATAAAGTCCTGAAAAGAGCCAGTTTATGTATCCGGCATAAATGATAAAAGACAAAGAACAGGAAAGAAAAATGAAAAATAAACTATAAGTGAAAAGATAAGGATGTGGAATTATGCATGTTAAAAAAAAACAAGTTTCAAAGGACTTCTACGAAGAGATAAAAGGTATGTATATATTCCCATTTCTTAATTTTAAACATTTCATTGCAGTGTATTTTGATGATAATAGTTACATTTAGTGATACAGTAGACAAAATGTAAACATTGTAAACAAGATAATAAATAATATTTGTATACTTCATACCAAATTCACCTTGCAGGTGAACTATTCAGAGTCCGGGTGCAAATAACTACACTAAATAACGAATTTTTTTTTATTAAAAATAGAAGAAAAAATAAGGAAGGTTCTTGTGAAATTTTGAACAATTTCATCCACTAGTTTTATTTATGGAATGAAATAAGAAGAGAGCAACATTAGCTGCCAAGGATCCTGGCAACCTGGTCTAATTAGGGTTGAGTATTGTTACATCATAATATCTCATAGTTTGTAGAAAGTTAAGTTAGTGAAAGCGAAGTTGGCATGTGAATTAGCTGTAATGGGAGATTTCTGAGATGGGTTTCACAGCTTGTATTGTAATAACAAAGATAGAGGAGTATAATTTGTCTTATCAAAGGGTGTTCTAAAGTAACTGAACCTGCCTGTGAGGACTTTGATGAAAAAGAAGATAATTATTTAAAGCTCTGGATACAACTGTGGTAACCACAGGGTAATATAAATGAATTTATCATTGATTGTATTGTGATAACAGAGCAGAGAAGAATAATTTGTCTTGCCAATTGGTTTCTAAAGTAAATGAACCAGCCTGTGTGGACTCTTGATGAAAAGAGATAAGTATTTAAAGCTCCAGATACAACTGTGTAATGGATTTTTTGGTACATACGTTTGACTTGTTTTGAACATATTATTTTAAAACAAGTGGATTGTGTGCTATCCATTCATCGCCAACAAGTCACCTACTGTAAAGAATCAGGCTCCCATTAAAACCTAACAAACATAAATGGCAGGAATGATGATTCATTGCTTTCTGTTCTAATTCTATCACCAAGAGTAAAATAAACATAGGAAATAGATGTGAAAAGGCTAGAAGTATAAATTCTCAGGAGAAGTAAGAATGAAGATGAAGTAAGATGAAGTTTTATAATTTTCAGATAAAGAAAAGTATTTTTAATCATAAATTGAAAATAACTTTGCACTCAGAGCAGTCAACACTCTGACTTCATATATTCATGGACATATTTGTAGTAAAAATACTTAATTAAAAATTCTAATTCTTTTTATATACAAAAGACTTGTAATGTTTACTAAAAGGTTGAAAAATTTCATAAAGACACAAAACATGTTAAAAGTTATATAGTATGGTAACTCTGACTGTTACTTTGGGGTAACATGTTTGATGTAATCCACTAAGGCAGTAGCAAAAGGGTTAATTGTATAACTAGTTTCAGTGAGTAGGATAATCTTTTTGTATCCATACTTATCAAATTTTCAATTTGATTGCTCTTGTAATCCTCCTCATGTGTACTTATTATTATCGATTGGAGACACTGTAGACTATATGCTTTACTTTCTTAGAGACACTAAACAGCTTGAATGTCTTGCTAAAATTGAATTTTAAAGTGATTTTGACTTTAATATACCTTAAGCTTTACCCAAATGTGTTCAAATATGCATATCTAATAGAAGATCTTTGGGTTTATGAAAATATTTCCAAACAACATACAGTAAATGCATAGACAACACTGTTTATCCTGAAATCATCAGTGCTAAGAGTTTTTTAGGTAAACGTTTTGGACTTATAAATTGGTTCATTGCAAAGGATGAGATCAACATTTATATAAACTTTTCCTCTAGTTATGTTCAAAGTTTTAGTATTTTGTAGCCAACAAATGGAACTTTTAATGATATACATGATAATTAATTTAAAACACAACTGTAATATCTACTATCTAGCGAAACCACAGCCAAGGGAACGGGCTTGGAAAAATCAGGGGGTGAAAGCTGCCAATTCTATTAGTTTGTCTAGGTCAAAGAGTTAATCCATTAGAAACAAAATTTCTAGGAATAATTATTCTTATATATATATATATATATATATATATATAATTCAGAGATTGTTTAGCTTTTCTTTATATTTAAGTTATGAAACTTATTATTTCAGATGTTATAAGGTTTCTGTATGTAAGCAATGACTGTACCTCCTTTCATGGATAGAGAATTATGAGTACAAGTGTGTGTTTGTGAAATTAAGAGATTCTATTTTGGATAGAGATGAAAACAGTTGATATTTCAAATACTATCATGTATATCTAAATATGCATTGTAACGACTAAATTAATTATATAATCCTATGTTTATCTATCTACGTTAAAACTGATGATAATTTAAAGTTGGTTTCTAGATTTTTTTAAATGGAAAAAATATTTTGAAAAATATTATAAAATATAATTTTATGACGTAGTAAAACCATTAATTTTACCATTTAGGTTATAATTTTTGAACTATGTTTTTATTATTACTGTGTATGTTATTAGTGTGTGAAAATAATGAAGAGGAAAATACTACTACAGAAAATAACAGATGAGCATAAACACACACACACACACTGAAACTGAGCAAAAATAACTGGTAATATGCAAGAACCATCCATTCATCCAACCTACTCCCATCCATTACTTCTTTTACTTTATTTTAACACCTGCAACATGAGCCAGCCTGGCATCTTGATGTGGATCCAAAAAATTAAGTAATTTTGGAAAGGTTTAGGTTGTTTGGATTAAACAAAAAACAGACATTTTGCACAATTTTTAAGGTCTAGGTCACTGGACCAGATATGAGACTGGACCTGTGACCTGACCCAAAACCATAAGAGCCAACATGGAGAAGTTAACTTGTAAATGTAAAGTAAAATGATGTAGCAATGAAACATGTTTGAAATGTTGTAGATGTGGTTGTGAATGTGATGGTTTAAATGTAGTGATTAAAATTAAACCATGGGTTGAGGTCAGATAAGGGAAGAACTTATTCGAAGGTATGCCAATCAATTTGACATATCAGCTGAATCAGAGATTTGTCAATTGGTTACTGTACTGACAGTGAAACATAAAAAATGAGTATAATAGCATCATTAACTTTAAAATTGAGATTGGAATTATGTATAAGAAATCATTAGTTTACAATATTTTGTGAAACTAATGGCACAGTAAAGCCCAAAGATGATTTCTTTAGCAATTCTCAAATTTGAAATGCCACTTCTGCAGTGAAGAGTAAATATAAGAAGGATGGTATAATGCCTAGTATGGCACCATCATAGTATAATCCATATAGATTTCATCATGTCATATTTTCATTAATATTTAGCTTTTTCCTTCATTTTAGAAGTTGTGCCGAACTTCATTCATCAAGATTTATCAAAAAGACCCAAATCACTGTTTTTTAAATGCCCCTCTTGTTGACCATCCTAGCCTCAGTATTAAATTATGTTGGGCTGGCTCATGTGGCAGGTGTTAAAATCAAGCATAGAATTATATACTATACAAAAACTATATTGTCAGTAGCTGAATATAACAACAAAAATTGCTTTCATTTATGCTATTGATAAGTTAAAATCATCCAAAAAGAACAGTGATAGTCTACAGTAAGGTGTTATGTTAGTTAACCCAACAGCAACAAATAGTACCTTGAAAACCAATCTGCTCCCAGTGACTTCCATAACGAGGACAATCCATCTTTTGTCCAGTAAGGCATTTAAAGATAGTTTGCACAATCTGCATATGTAGATATTCCTTATCATCAAGCGGACCTAAAAATAAAATGATTTTTGTACACATTGCAGAAATTTCACTGTTCATCAAATTATAAAAAATATGTTCACTGTACTGACATTTTACAAAAGAATAACAAATACAATTTATTATATCAGTTCCTTTCAAAATGTTGCATGCACATATGTACATTTAATCACAGAATTAGTGTCATAAGAACAATTATGGGAGTAAATAAGCCATATGAACAACATACATGAGAATAGTCCAAAGTAATAAAAGCTAAACAATACAAATACATACAAGAAAAATCCAGGGTAATAAAAGTAAGCAACACAACAGGAATAACACATATGATAGTCATGCAGGATAACAAAAGTAAGCAACACAATATGAATAACACATTACACAATAAAATAAAAGTATGCAATACAATAGGAACAACACATATGAGAATAATAGAGGTAACAAAGGTAAACACTGCAATAGGAGTAACATAATGCAGGTAACAAAAAGCAAACAAAAATTAATTCAGAGTAAAAGTATGATATTATATAATAAGAACAGTTCTAAAATAGTCTTAATTATTTTTTAACAAAACATAAAAAGGTATGAAAGTTAAAGTAAATATTGATTAAAGATAAACTATCACAATTGACAGTTCAAAGAAGCAAATTGATATTAGAACCATTACTGAAACAAATGACAATAAAAATTAATTCAGGGTTTAGCTTAACTAACATTTAGATACTTAGGTTAAAAAAAATCAAATAATAAAACACAACTGAGTAAAAATAGTGAGTAATAATTCTATAATCAAGTGAAAATCTCAAAGATACATCTAAAATTACTGAAAATATTCAAGAGAAAAGTTGTCAAAAAGAGGGAATCAGATGGATAGAACATTTTAAATGAAATAAGTTTTTGTTTAAATATCAGATAAATCAAATCAGTTGTTGTTTTGTGGTCAATTGGTCAAGGCATGAGCATCTACAGAAATTTTTCCCGGGGGAGGGGGGATAATGTAAAACTGTGAAGTGAATACAAATTTCATATACACATTCTGAATGAATAAAGAAAGAAATATGTTTCTCATTTTTCAAGTGGTAATTCTGACATCAAGTTAAATGACACTATAAAAAGTCATGGCATGCACATAGAGTTAATATCATTGTCTTCTAATTACTTAACAGATGGTTTTACTGAGCTGTTTTAAATTGAAAATAATTTTCATTTGAAAAGAAAGAAGTATATGTAAATATATATATACATACATAATTTATGAACACTTCAAGAAGTTGAGTACAATTCATTACTTTCAGAGCTAAATATGAAAAAAAAAATAAAGACAGTATTTCATAAACAGTGTAGTTTAATTTGGTACATGTTGAATGAAACAGATTATTATATTATTAATTCCCTATCATCTTGATCATGTGGAACACTTAACATAGTTTCTGGTTTCAACATTAATTTATCATACATTTTTTTATGTTGTTTTAAGCTATTATTCATATTTATTATTGTAAGCCATACTGCTTTGGAACTCAAAACCTTTTATGCTGTACAAAAAATGTCTAGTAATATTTGATTGGTGGTATTCCTTTTTTTTTTTGTTAATTACCAAGTTTTTATCTTACATACCTCTTCCTCTGTTATTTAGTTTAACTGTCCCTTGAGTTTGTTTATGAATGATGCCAGTTAACACCCCAAGTTAATAAAACAAAGCTTAAGAGACTGATAAACCAGCTGCTTAAGAACGAGGAGTTTTTGACTGCATGTTGCTTGAAACTTGGTTAATGCTTATTAGTGTAGTGAGTTATGATTAAATATAACAATGATTATTATGGCAAGTACACTTGTCATAGAACATTAGTATTGGGCCTATTACATTTTTAAACAATACATTCTTTATGGGACTAGATAAAGTCAGCAGCACACAACTACCTATACTAAAGGATTAACTTTCACTCTTATAATGTACCCACCACTTAGACTGGAATGGAGGGAATCTTGTAGTATTGTACGAACTCAAACCAACTGACCAACTCCAAAGCTTGTAAATATATTAATGAAATTTTGTTTATTTTCAAGTGGCAAAATTCATATCATTGGTCATAACAAGACACATAAATTTCAAACAGCAAAAACATTTGAGATTAATGTGTTTGTTAGAATATGATCCATGAGAAATAATTGCAATACCAATTCAATAACCCACTTTAATGAGTAAGTGTTTTCAAGCTTTTAAAAAAAAAATTACACCATTTTTCTATTATTATTATTATAACAGGTAAGACAAGTAAACAGCCGTCTACTAGATGTTTATTCAACTTATTGAATAGATATACGTGTTTGGTATTGTTACGTCTCTGTTTGTTAATTGATTTTCCGTAACTTCGTTCCGACGAAACTTTAGCGACACAAGTCCTT